CGGTCCCAATTCATTTGGCAACAAGTCTAAGGGTGAGCAATATTAGGTCAGACGCATGGGCTGTATTCGAACATCAGCCGTAAGGAACACGACAAAAAGGAATAGAGCCAATAGAGCCAGTTACCCGCCAACCACAGCTTTCTCGACATCGCCGGTGTTAACGTTGATCTCATGTTTGAGCACATCGCAGAATGCTATGGACATGAACACCCATAGGGATGGTCCTACAATCCTGTGGTGTACTTGCCGCCGAAAAACTGCATCTTCAGTTAGGCTTCACGCCCCGGAACCAAAGATCAAGCCTAGAAGACCGCGTAGTCTTTGGAATTGGGGCAAGAACTACCCTATAACGTGTGATTGGTGAAATATTAAGCATCAAATATTTTCAAATGTTTTTTCTCTCATGAAAGGTCCTTGGTACCCTCATGTAGCGAATCCTCCAGATGGTTTATCACCTGACGCATTTTTGAAGGCGGAGGCGGGGATTGAACCCAGCAACTTTATTCAGTACAACGATTCCTGAGGATCGCTATGTGGCATGACTGCAACTGGGCTAGCTATGATTGAGCGTCCAACTCTATAAGTGGGTAGAGCCATGCTCGGTTCCTACTGGCAAGCCTAGAACCATGGGAGCCAACAGTGTAATCCGTAAGGCGCAGGAAGGGGACTTTCTCACTAGAGCATTGCTGTCCAGGCAATACTTCAGACAGACCCTTGACCCGTTTCTTCAAAGTAGCTAACAGATACGGTATGCTGATGGCAATTGCCGTGGTCAAAGAGTGACTGTAGTGGACGCGACCAATCAGCAAGTCGAACGCATATCATGAATATCCTAATTTTCATATATGTTAAATGACAACGGCCCCAATGATGATGAGCGCAGCTAATATGGATGCTCATAAAGTAAAGGCTGGCAGCCCTTGAAGCGACGCTACACTGCTTACACTGCTCGTGCCTGGTGCAATACAAAGCACCGGATGGTATGCTGCCGAACCCGTGCGAGCATTTAAACCTATCTAAACAATTAAAAAAGTAGAAGTCCCGGGGAGTTTACTAGCGAGCAAAAGAAAGGAGTCCTCTTGAAGACCTGCAGCCAACGTGTAGCCCCGCGGCTAACCTCACCAGGCTGCGATGCCATTTGAACTGCCTTGTGCTTCAAGATTGTAGTTGGAACTCGGCACTTTTATATGGTTTATGTTGGGACGAGGGCTACTTTGACTTGGCACGTTTTCGCAATGTGGCCATGTGTGTGCTGACAGCAACTGAGTCCTTTTGGGCAGGCAATACCCCGTACCCTACCAAGGTTAGGCACTCAGAAATGCCTTTAGGCAGCATATCGTTATTAAGGTGCGATAAGCCGACGCAATATAATAATAAGTTGTTTGCGAGGGATGGTTTCGCCAGAAATTGTTTCGTAGCCTTGACTCTGCTACGCAGCCCCTCCCCGCTGGCGGCTGCGGCTGCGCAGGCACCCCACTTTCCGTGGGCTGCTGCACTATTAGTGTTGCTGGCTTGTCTGTCGCTGTTGTTCCACATGTTCCAGCCAGGGAGTGGTTTGTTCGAAAGGATTTGCCTTCTGAGTATAGCTTTCGGTCCTAGCCGCCCCATCTACTTCCCCCCTTCCGAAAATGGTACGCTGCTGTGGAGCGTCACGCATATCACGGAGCTTAGGGACGCGTTTAAATGGTGGTTTCCCAGGTCGTCCTGCGGGCAGTTTTTTTATTTATTTTGCTGCGTATCGGGAAATTTGTCTTCTTACTGACTGCGGACAAGCAGAGCACGAAGCTCATGCTGCACCCTAGCGTGTGGGGGGTGGTGTCCCTGATGCGCTCGTTCATGCTCCTTCGCTTCTTTCGATTGTTCGGTCTATACGGGTCTTTAGCGGCCTGGTTTATGACTGAAACTTGTTCCAAGGCCGACGGAGGCAACGTTTGGGGGAGATGCTACAGGCTCCCCGGTTGGAAGCATGCACTCCTTTTGTGGCTGCTGTGGTCGAAAATAACTTACTTGCGCGGTGACGTGAATTGTGTTCCTCATTCGCTATCTGTGGTGGTGGTTTCAGGTGAACTTTTCAGTGGATCAGATGCGCGAAATTATGGGCAATCCTAAGAACATTAGGAACATGTCCGTCATTGCCCATGTCGACCATGGAAAAAGCACTCTGACGGACTCCCTGGTGTGTAAGGCGGGCATTATTTCAGAAAAGGCATCTGGGACGGCTCGCTTCACAGACACCCGCGCGGATGAGCAGGAACGATGCATCACCATCAAGAGCACAGGCATCTCGTTGTATTTCAAGCAAGACCTTGATGATGGAGCGGGCGAGCAGGAGTTTCTTATCAACCTAATCGACTCTCCAGGACACGTTGACTTCAGCTCTGAAGTTACAGCTGCTCTCCGTGTCACCGACGGCGCCCTCGTTGTTGTTGACTCGGTTGATGGTGTCTGTGTACAGACAAAGACCGTCTTGCGCCAGGCGCTTCAGGAGAGAATCAAGCCTGTGCTGCATGTGAACAAGGTGGACCGTGCGCTGCTAGAGTTGCAAATGGACCCCGAAGAAATCTACTTGACTTTTGAGCGCAATGTCGAGAATGTCAATGTCATTATCTCAACCTGCAGTGATGACAACGTCGGTGATATGCAAGTCTTCCCTGAAAAGGGAACAGTTTCGTTCGGTTCAGGGCTGCATGGTTGGGCCTTTACAATTGAGAAGTTCGCCAAGTTGTACGCAGCCAAGTTCGATGTGCCTAAGGAAAAGATGATGCAGCGTCTGTGGGGCAACAACTTCTACAACGCAAAGGAGAAGAAGTGGACCAAGACCCAAACTGAAGGATCTCAGAGAGCTTTCTGCCAGTTCATTATGGACCCCATCTGCAAGCTGTTTTCGACCATCATGAATGATCAGAAGGATAAATACGAGAAGATGCTGACCACTCTAGGAATTGAATTGAAGGTTCGTCTAGGCACTAAAGTTTGCAGGCTAGCACGTTGAACAGTTCGACATTTGGTGCACATAGTGCGTCATCTTCCCTTCGGTATGTTCTCAGGGTGAAGATAAGGACTTGACCGGCAAGGCATTGCTGAAGCGAGTCATGCAGCTCTGGCTCCCGGCCGGAGATTGCTTGTTGGAGATGATTGTCCGCCACTTGCCTTCGCCATGGCAGGCGCAGAAGTACCGTGTGGATACTCTGTATGAAGGCCCTAAGGACGACGAGGCGGCCAACGGTATCAGAAACTGCGATCCCAACGCTCCTCTCATGATGTATGTGAGTAAAATGGTGCCAACTTCCGACAAAGGTCGGTTCTACGCTTTTGGTCGTGTGTTCTCTGGAACTGTCGCCACTGGCCAGAAGGTCCGCATCCAGGGACCCTACTACGTGCCTGGGGAAAAGACCGATTTGACTATTAAAACTATCCAGCGTACAGTCATTATGATGGGCAAGTACGTCGAGCAGGTGCAGGATGTGCCTTGCGGCAACACTTGCTGCCTCGTCGGTGTCGACAAGTTCTTACTGAAGTCGGGAACCCTCACTACTTATGACCAGGCCCACAACATTGCGGACATGAAGTACTCTGTTTCTCCCGTTGTCCGTGTTGCCGTCAAACCGAAGGACATGAAGGAGCTTCCAAAGCTTGTGGAGGGTCTGAAGCGCCTGTCAAAGTCTGACCCGTTGGTGGTGTGCACCACTGAGGAAAGTGGTGAGCACATCATTGCTGGGTGTGGCGAGTTGCACGTGGAAATTTGCCTGAAGGATCTTAAGGAGGAGTATGCCCAAATCGACATCATTGTGTCGGATCCCGTGGTGTCGTACCGTGAGACCGTTACGGCGCCATCGTCCATGACCTGCCTGTCGAAATCACCCAACAAGCACAATAGGCTGTACATGACAGCGGAACCTCTCCCTGAAGGCTTGCCAGAGGCCATTGAATCAGGCAAGATCAGCGCAAAGGACGGGCCCAAGGAGCGTGCCAACGAGCTGAGCGAGAAGTTTGATTTCGACAAGAACCATGCAATGAAGATATGGTGCTTCGGACCTGAAACCTCCGGTCCCAACATACTTGTTGATATGACGGTCGGCGTGCAATATCTCAACGAAATCAAGGATCACTGCAACTCTGCATTTCAGTGGGCAAGCAAAGAAGGTGTGCTGTGCGAGGAAAACATGCGAGGTATCCGTTTCAACCTGACAGATGTCACCATGCACGCAGACGCTATCCACAGAGGTGCTGGTCAGATCATGCCGACGTGCCGCCGTGTGCTTTACGCCGCACAGCTCGTTTCCCAGCCGCGACTCCAGGAGCCCATGTTTTTGGTCGATATCTCGGTGCCGCGTGACTCAATGGAAGGCATCGACACGGTGCTCTTCATGCGTCGTGGGCACGTGTTCGAGGAAGATAGCAAGCCTGGCAACCCGCTTGTTGTGCTGCGTGCCTATCTGCCAGTTGCTGAATCTTTCGGATTCACAACAGCTCTGCGTGCCGCTACATCAGGCCAGGCTTTCCCCCAGTGCGTCTTCGACCACTGGAGCTGCCTCAACGGCGACCCACTTGAAAAGGGAAGCAAGATGGAAGCTTTGGTGCAGGGTATCCGTACAAGGAAGCATCTTAAGCCCGAAATTCCTCCCCTGGACCACTACTACGACAAGCTGTAAGGCTGGACCACCACTACCACAAGCTGTTCGGCGGTGTGCAGTTCTGGTGAGATGTGTCCCCATTGCGTTGTTTGAACATCTGGGGCTAAGAAGTGAATGTGAATGTGGGCTGGTTCCCTGAAAAAGTTTCCCCGTCACCTGGCAGCTTCGACAAAAGGAAGTTCTGCCACGATGTGAGAACTGGCGACATTTGGAATCGCGCTGTCGCAGCGCGTCGAAATCGTTCCCTTTGCTTCGAGCAGATTCGCCTGTGCAGTCCCTACGCACCGCCGTAGCCGTGCGCCGCTAGCCTTTTTTGGCGGGGACACCGTGCGTAGCTAGCATGACTGACAGTAGATGTCCAAAGTTTTAGTACAGGAGAGTTGTTCTAGAGATGCTGCTTCCGGGATTGCAAATGGGTCCCCCGCTGGCAGGAAACTGATTGATGATGGGACATTGAGGGGCGATGCCGTAAACGGTAAGATCTGTCACATGATCGAGCACATGCTGCTCCTCTTTTCCTGAACAATGCATATGCATTGCAGCTTGCCCTCAGTGGCTTCAGACCCACGTTCCATACGCTATGTTCGACGAAGTATCGCGCTACCCACGGACGCACCTTGTGATCCATTTGGTAATCTGTTCACAAGCAAGCATAAGCGCAACAGACGCTAAGTAGCCTGGTGTTATGTAGATTCCACGAGAGTCTAAACATTTGCAGAGGAGAGTCCCACCTGTGTTACTGGGGTATGAATTCCCCTTGGATTTCACTCCTCTGGAGGCGCTTGATATTTGCCTGAAGAGGGAGCTTCTTTTCCGCTCCTTCCTCGTAGCTTTAAGCAATTCACAGTTGTGGTCTTCTTTTAACCGGTGTTTAATGCAAATATCCGCTTGACAGTGTGGGCAATGGATGGACGAGATCGCTGTGAGGCGCTGCTAGGACAAGCAGCAAATATGTAGTTTGAATACCTCGGCGCAAATCCTTTCGGCGGAGACACAAAACCCGTGGGACCCACTCTGGAAAAGAGCACTGCTAACCCCCGCAGTGTGGCGATATACGGACAAAGCTATGAAACAAGGATGTGACAATTACGTGGCCCCGCGACACACTTCCCCAGCCTACTTCTTTGCAGCCGTTAACTGGGCACTTCCTCCCCTTCTTTATTTTCTCCCTCTGAGCCCGAAGCTCTGGCCTGCACTGAGGACGGTGGCGTACTGCTGCTGCCTCGTCAGTCTCCAAGTCCATCTGAGCCAAGGACACCGACGCCTAATTGGCATGACGAACTAGACGCAACCACGCATACTTCATTTGATAGGCTTCTCAATTGAAAACACCTGGATCACAGCATCAAGTGCGGAATGTTCGCGCACCACGCGCCTCTAGCTGCACACCTGCGGGCAGCATGCACTTACAAGTCCAACTACTTCCAAGCAAGTGGGACAGACGTACACGCGCCGATCCCCGGCATTCTTCCGTGGACAAGAGTGGTCATCTGGAAGGTAGTGCTCCAAGCAAAACTGACGAGCATTCACACCAGCAGCAAGCCACCCACAGAGCACAAGCAGGTTCAGCTGCGTCTACAGCAGCGTTAGCCTGAAGCAGCTTAGTACATGTATCCCACGGAAACAGTATGACCTGATTCGGCTGCTAAAGCGGCAGAGCTGCAGCCTTTACAGGGTGTTGCTTACCACATTTCCACACTTGTTACAATTGAAGGGGAGAAAATCTCTCTGTCGACACAGTGAGTTGCTGCAAGTTAATCCCTTGTCCGATAGAACTGCCATGTTCAAGTTTAGCTTAGAAGCACCATACAGCACAGAGGACTACCGGAGTGTCGCTACTTCTCTAGAGGGTAGTTGCGGACTCCCCACTACTGTGATTGACTGGAAGAGCGAGCGGGTGGACCCTGTGACTTGACCTGATCCCTCAAGACACCCTTACCAAACTTGCTCAAGAGTTCTAACATGGAAGTGGATTTGTGCCGTCCACTCCGAATTTCAATATGGCAGCTCAGTCACGCTGAACGCAATCTACTTTTGCCCTTGTGAGTAGGGCCTTCCATTGAAAAAAAAAAGGCAAGGGTCACGAATTTTAAAATAGGAATCCTCCTGAGGAAAAGTGGTCGCTGATGGAGATGGTTAAATAGAGCAAGCAGTGCGAGTGGTCACCGGTGGTTCGGTGATTCCTTGCCGAGCCTTTTGACAGTTTATTGTTAAGGAAACGCGCAGAAACATCAGTCTTTACTGAAAAAATGCAGTTCTCTTCTGTTCGGAAGTACCGACGTTACCGCACAACTTCTTTACACCAGCCAACAGCGGCATGCAAGCCTACAACGGTTTCCGTCGGAAGCTTCCGATGCACCTCCTGCACTCTTACTGAAGTAGTGAGGAGAACAAATTAAAGGATTTTGTACCATGCACCCTCCTGCTGCGAGCTCATTGACAATGGGCACAGCACGGTACATGAAGCTTCCGCCACTTCCTGCTTTCAGAGGGGGGTGCATCCATGCTGGTTCAGTTATGCAAGAGCTAAAACATTCCCGGCACAGCTAGTGTTTCAGATATTGTACTAAGGCGTGCACATGAAACAAGATCGTTGAGAATATGCAGTTGGGAAATCTGTTGACGTCTTTAGTGTCAACAATGGAAAATTGAACAATGGGGGTATTACCGCACGTAGAGGCTTGTTTTTCCAGCAGAATTCCGTGAAGCTGTTCTGAACAGCTGGTAGAAAGTTCCTCATAGTAATAAAGACCCAGCCTTTGGGTCAGATGTACAACTTGTTGCCCTCGCACTGCTGCAACGGTTTCTGAACTGCACGTACACCTGGATACGACATGCAAATCGTGTGGCCTACAACGAGCGCTATTACTGGAAATCTCACCCGCAAACCATTCGGAAACTTGAGTCTTTTTTTTGAAAATTTATTCTTCTCGAGTTTTGACTTTCGTAGAGTAATATTCTTCATCATTGACAAGATGTATCGATCAGCCTGCTTCACCAGCTTTGCAATTACACTGGCGGTTCAATATGCACTGTGCGTTGCTGAGCCACGAATGCACAAGGATTTGAATCGCATAACATGCCCAAATCATACACACGGGGTATGTATCCATGATGCATCTGGGCGTCAGGCAACCCATCATACTCATTTCTAAATTGCAGGCTTGTGCAGGAGAAAACGTCTGCCTCCATCCGTGCAACCGGTTAGTAGCAGAAACCACACCTTCTGCCATCTCAGTTTGCCAATGCACCTTTCCATCCAGCCATTTCTTGCCCACTCAGACGCCTACTTTCTTTTACGAAAACGCTCCATCTGATCCAGGTAGGTCTTCGTAAACTATTATAAGGAGCACTTGTTCCTGTTCATACAGCGTCCCAACAGAAGCCAGGCTCTGGATAGAGGTTGTTCCATCAGCAGAAGCGAAGCAGCTCTATTTCAATGAAATCACCTCAACAAGGCCGCTCTACAAGCACACGTTAACACCGGGAAGCTCAGGCAGAATAGAGTTAGGTGCAATTCCTGAGCCAGGTTTGTCATTTAATTAGCAGCCAGTAAAACTTGCCTCTCTCACACTAGATGCATTCTACAGGCTCGTACAATATCATCATGTTCCAGGTAGGACACAATTGAGATTCATTGTCACGTAACTCTTTGGAGTGTACCTTCCTGCGCAGAATAAGAGGACTTTCGAAGGAGTCTTAAGTGTGGAAAAATTCTGCATCAGCAAATTTTGAGAGCATATCTGCTGGAGAAAATGCCCAATGCCGAGTCAAAAATTTCGCACCGGAGCAGCTGCTGAGTAAAGCAGAGAAATGATGTATATGTAAAGAAAATAGCGATTGGGAGCTCCATTCCGCTATTGGATGATCGTTTAAACGTTTGTTTTTTTCGCGGATAAATGACTGCCACATGCTTCGCAGCCGGAACAGCATCACTACTTGCACCGCTTTTTGCGTTCCTATGGAATAACATGAAACTGAAACTCATGACCTCAACGTCGCGCCTTCGTACAACGAACTGTGTCGACGTGAAGGAATAGCTACAGTTGTCATACAGAATTTCCCCCTCAACTGAGTTGCCTCCAAAGCAAAACTAAAGACACCCATTGCTTTGTGGGCACTGCAGCAGTGTGCGCGAAGTCGAAAGCCCTCTGGCTGCCATACAGAAATAAATAGTGTTTCCCGATTCAACTAGTGTAGAAAATGCATTTTACTGCCCCAGACATAACTAATTTTGCTGAGTCAACGCGTTGTATGGGTGGGATTGCAGCATTTTTGGCAGACAAAGTACTGAAAATGCCTTTGTATACAAGAAGACACATTTGGTGTTCAGCATTCAGCGCTGGCGCAAACAATTTGCAAAGTTGAAGCTCCACATGCAGCATGCCTCCGGAGAAACAGGTTATATATGTCGATTTGAAGGGAAGTTTTACATGTGATATTTTGCAGTTTCACCTCTGTTTGGTATGGAAGGATCAAGAGCATCGTGGGGTGTTTTCTTCACGCACTCTCATCGATGATCTGGCAGTATACTGCAGCTAGGCTATGATGGGAGCTCCAACAACATGTTTGGTATAAAATAAAACTCAAAAATAATTTTGTGAGAAACCAGTGGGTAGGCGGCACTGGTGCAAAAATCATTAAGTCGCTGCATGCACAGGTGGTGGTGGTGACGCTCTTCCTGTGGCTGGTTACTCTTACGTCAAGTCCTAAAGTTAACTTTGAATGTAGGATTGCCGGTAGTTGAAGACAACACTCGTTAACTCCCCGCGACAGAAATGCGGCTTGGTGCTTGAACTTGTGTAATTTGCACAAACGCCATCGTTTGTGAACAGCCTTCTTTATAGGGCGAGGCTTCCGGCACCCTGAAGATAACTGCAGCAGAAGGATTGAAATACCAGTCTCCTGCTCAACCCGTACATCCAGGACGGTACATCTGTTGCTTCAGGCCACGGACTGCCGCAAACGTCCAGCAATTGACACGAACTTTAGAGGCGGGAGGCAACAACAGCTGGTCCTCCGGCACTTTCTTTGGTTGATTGCTGCATGATAGGCCGTAAGAATAAATGCGATAAAAACGGGGCGCCATCATGTCCAAGACAGTCGCCGACTCGAGACCATGGGTAGAAAAGTAGTACGTGGAATTTCTTATTCAGCTCATCCCTAGCCCCACAGATAAAAGCTTCCTTTCATGTATCTCGAAAACCATACCGTTGTTCGTTTGAAGGCAATGGTTTTCCATGCTGTGGTCTCTGTGAGCTGCTGCTCTCCTGGTTGTCTGCAGCCGCCCACGGAAGATTGCGGAGGTCTCTCAGCAGACCGAAGCAAAGCGTCTTCTTTCAAGGATAATTGAAACTGGCAACGTGAGAACAGCCCAGAATATATACTTTGAAAGTGTTGTTGCCGTGCCGTCGATGTGAGCTCCCGAGAATGCCGCTGTTCTGGATCTTGTGTTACAGTTGCTGTGAAGGGGAATTGTCACTGTGCACAGATGCCGCATTTGCTCTTCTTCGGTCCTCCTGGCTCCGGGAAGACGTCTGCGGCACTTGCGCTTGTGAAGGAGCTCTTCGGGTATTTGAGACACGCTATTTTGAGGCTGCATGTAGATCTGGCGCTCGTCTTGTTCGTCCCCCAGGAAATGGCCGAGTGCAGATAGCACGAGTGACAAATTTGCATACGACAAGATAGCATGCGTAGACTTTAATCACTGCACGCTTTGTGGGTTTTTCCATCAGACGAGAGGACTCCAAGTCTCGACTGTTGGAGCTGAATGCATCGGACGAAAGAGGTGAAGCTTATCTCAATTTCTAATGGTCCGCAGTCTGTAGAGGAGCCCATTCCGTTTCTTACGGTTAGTTAAATAGAGAGTCCCATGTGTGTCGATGTAATCGTGCAGGTATTCGGGTGGTGCGTGAGAAAATAAAGAAATATACGCGGACCAACACGCCCAAAGGAAAAATCAACCCGGAAACAGGGAGGTGTGCGCCTGCTGCTGTGCGGTGGTCATGTCTTTAGCAGCATGATTTCACCTATAGGCCATTTCTATCTGGACTGGATATGCTTCTTATCACTTTGTTTTCCTGCATTGTTTTGCAGGGAAATGCCCCCGTGGAAGATTGTCATGCTGGATGAGGCTGATATGATGACGCCCGATGCTCAAGCTGCCTTGAGAAGAATCATGGAAGCCTTTGCAAGAAATACGAGGTTCATAATCATATGCAATTATGTACACAAGTGAGCCCACACTTCAACTTTGTTCAAAGGGATACATGCGAATTATTTCCAGTTCCTGGGACTTCTGGCTTAACCGCACGAGCATAACCACTGGTTTGAGAACCACAAATAAATGCATTTACCAACGACCATTTGTGCGTCCAAAAGAGGTATTTGCAGCCAGTGTGTATGGTATTGCGCAGGATCATAGATCCTCTCTTCAGCAGATGCTCACCTCATCGATTTGAGCCTGTGAGTAACTGAGGCAGAAATATCCTTCCGTGTTCCTGGGAAGTATGAGCCGTGCGCATAGAAGTGCCCAGGAACCGCCACAGTTACGCGAACGGGGAGCTTAGCTTGCCTCTAAATGCGCATTTAGGTGTCACCGGATGCTCAAATGGAAAGACTTCACATGATTTGCAAGGCGGAGAACTTGACAGTCGAAGATCGAGCGCTGGAGCGTCTGATGAATCTTACATGTGGGGATTTGCGCCGCGCTGTGAACCTCCTTCAGGTTTGTCGCTTTATCTGTCTCTGTTTGCCTGTACCTATATCGGCGTGGTGAAGTAGCGATTTAATTTTGGCACATGATGAATCTCCCGGTAACGTCAATTTTTATACATTATGCGGTCTCTTCTGCTGCAGTCTGCGGCAGGGATACACCGGACGATCACGGAAGACGCAATTCTCGAGGTTGCAGTCGTAAGGCTTCCTGATCTAAATCTCATCCAAGGCAGCCCGCGTTTACACCTGTTGTGATGGGAACTACACGGCGATTTCATCTGTGCATTTACTTCCTTCCCACTTGAGCAAAGACAACCCGTTACGTCTGCCAGTGTACTCACTAACAGTTTTCTCTTCTTTATCCCTCTTTTGCTTGTGCACAGCACCCTCCTACGTATGTCGTTCAGAGCGTTCTCACAGCCTGTGCGACTTCTCCAGAAGCGGTGAGCGGATCAACAGTATGGACCTTTCGCCGGCCAGACTGTGACACTAACACTGTTTATTGGCCAAGTCGCGAACTTTTTACATAAAGTAGAAGGCCGGAAGTGCCAGTGCAACGACGATCAGCACCAGCGTACCGGCGAACAGCGCCAGCTTGCATCCTCAGCAGGATGCTTGGTGTGTATGCGTCAGGTGAACGAAGTGACAGAAGAAGTGGCGAATCAGGGTTGGGACGTAGCTCTGCTACTGCAGGAGGCAAGTGCTGCTCGCAGTTTGTGTGTACAAAATCAGGGAGAAGCCGTTGCGCATACAGCAGGAGCAACCACGAATTCATCGGATTCCTAGTATTCCTGTGTCATGCTTCGTCGCTCACTTAGCGAGTGGCCGCCCTTTTGATAAAGTTGAGGCTCTCATTGCCCAAATTTCGCCTCGCGTGAGCTGTTCTTTGCAAATATCTGATCGCTCAGATGGTCGCAGAAGTTGTGAAGTCCGAAAGCCTTTCAGATTTACAGAAGGCCACTATACTCCATGAGATCGGTTCTACGGAGTTCGCCGTTTTGCAGGGTACGTATGAACAGGACGTCGGTAACATCATCGTAATCCCTCTGCTTACCTCCTCAAAAAGCCCCAGAACCCTCCTGGGAGATTCCACTGCATTGCGACGCTTGTGTTGTGGCATGAATTGTTTCAGGGGCACATTCCCTACTGCAGCTTCTTTCAGCTTGCTTGAAGATACAAGCAGTGCTGATGCAGGCATGAGTTTATCGCTTCGAAAGAGGCGGACATTGCTTGTCGCCTGGTTTGCATATAGAGACCCAAAAAGCTCCTGCTGATATGTGTGAGCATATTCTTTGTCCTTGCAATTTGTGCGGTGTTTACTGAACTTGAGATTCGTGAGATGCACTGCTTTTCGGATCCAACTTCAAATCCCTGACGGACTGATTGGCGATGGCTTTGTTTTTGGGGGTGCGTGGATCGTTCGCCTCCCTAGCGAACGAAGGACAGCGACCAGTGTCTGCAATTGTACTTGCTTCGTTGGCAGATAAGTGCCGTAAGTCTGCACGGCTCGCCTGCTTTTCTGCACTGTTTTGGATTTAGGAGTGTATACATCAGGTGAGAATGCATATTCTTTAGCGCTAAGGAGTCGGCGAAAGATTGTAAAACATGTGTGTTGCTGCCGCACCGCATAACCTCAGTGACTTTGGAGAAGGCGCTATCCTCAACTTTGTCACTGAACATGGGACTCCCAGCGAATAAGTAAACTTCCCACACCGTTTCAGTCAGCACGAAAAAGAACACCGTCAAGATCATGCAGCTGAGCGAACCAGCTGCGCGCAGGTTCTTCCTGCCCCTCTGGTACCCACGAGATCCGGAGTATGACCGAACGATTGCGCACCAGCAGCCAGAAAGGGCTATGCCGCAGCCCCAGTCACTCAGTACTTGTCTCGAGGCATTGAATGTACGGTGCATTGGGCAAATTTAGCAGTTAATCAGAAGGCTGCGTTGCTTTTGCTCCTCAGCTGCTGATCCACAAGCGATTGACATAATAGCCTTTGGGGTACAGGCAGTTTGTGGATCTATCCTTGTTGGCCAGCTTACGCTACACTCAGCTTCGGCATGCCTGCGCTTTGTTCACACATTGAACAAACCGAAGTATAATGTACGCATTGCCGCACTCAGCGCACTGTTGACTCAGAACCTCGTGGAAAAGCGCTGCTGCAGGGTCTGCTTGTGAAGCGCTGCGCGGTACTCCGCAACTTGTTGCTTGATGACAGCCAAGCGCGAATGCACTCCAACGAAGTGCCGGTCACTTTTCAGACTTTCCATCACCCGAGTGGCACTGGCCATTGCCAACTCTATCTGCAGCAGCATATCTGTGAGCTGCTGTGCGGCAACATCGGCTCGAGCGCGTTCTTGTTCATTTAGCTACGGCAAACAAACGAATACAAAGTAACGCAAACACGATTACAGTTACTCTGTGACCTCACTGCGATGCATGACGCATGTACAAAATGCGCATGTGACAAACAAGCAGGCCAGGAGCTTCACACGAGAAACTGGCATACATGACTCTATGGTGAGAACATCTTCGCAATGGACCTGCCGCTGAGTTCCACATCAGTGCAAAGCGAGGAACTGTGTGTTGGTAAGGACTTGCAAAAGAGCAAACGGCAGGAGGCACCCTACCTGCGACCACAAAGGTACACTAATTGGTGACCCGAAGTACGGCAGATCTCCAGACTCCGTAAGCTGATGGAGGAGCCCGACATAAGTGAATGCTGTCGCGACGTCATCCTGGCTGGTCAGCCACTGTTCAAAAATCCAGCAGAAGATGGTCTGCAGCTCTGCGGAATTTAGGTGACTATGCTGCTTTGCCACATCATCCTGAAGCAGCAAGGCACGCCAAATCCTGCTCAGCAGACACTCAGGTACTAAGGGTTCTGGAAGCTGGCGGCAGTTTTTCAGAATTTATGCAAACTGCTTCGCTCCAGATCGTGCTCGCACCATAGCGTGCAAGCCAACTGAATGTTACGATGTTTTGCCAATTAAAGATTACCTGTTCAAAGGACAAATAAAGATCTATTAAACTGCTGTATGATTTGCCGCACTCCGCGAGGCACCAGGCAGGCCAAAGAAATCCAGGAATCTGCACCGTCTCTCCCTCAGCATTGACCATAGCAACCTCCCCATCGTCCCAACGAGAGTGCGCGTGAATGTGTAAAACAACGCAGAGACGCTTGAGAGACCGGTCGCAGCTCTCCCGTACTGCAGCGTCCGGCAATGCCATTAGATGCTTAAGCTGAGATGCAACGAACAGAATAAGACCAAATTAAATATGCTTTGGTTAGGATGAGATACAAAGTTCACTTTTGCAAAGCAGACTCAGGGAACAGGCGTCAAATTCTATGCTTTGCTCTTACCGCATCAGACAAAATCCGCGGTTGCTTTAAAGTCCGCGAGGAAGCCTCAGCAAAAGAAAGGACTGCCATGCAGGCATCATCAAGAGCAGTACGTGCAGTATTTTCTTCCTCTGCGCATACTCCTACGTTGCCTATGTTGCGAGCCGTTGCTATCGACACACGCTGGCCATACAGTCGTAGGGCTGCAATTGACGGAAAATGCGGTGTGATGCGCTCTGACAGCCCGTATTCATTCATGTGGGTCGTTAACAAGTCCAACAGCTCAAGGGGAGCGTAGACGAGGCGCTGTAAATCCACTAGCAATGACAGAATTGACAGGCAACAGTCCTGAGCATAAAGAACACAATTTCAACTGAAGAAAATTGTCACAAACATGCCGTATGTGTAGAACATTCCTCCAGTCCGTCATTCCTTGCTGCTTCATTGGGGTACATGTACAGCAGTGTTACGTTGAATCCGTTGTTGTTGCGGCTTCATTGTAATCCGTCACAAGCGTAACAAATTAGTAGGCTGGACACTAACCCGACAACTATACGGCTGCCCGCATTTGTCAGGAGGTCCCGTTACAGTAAGAGTCGAAATTTCATCACAGAACGTCTCGACGTCTTCCGCTGAGACGGCCTGGGCTGCAGGTGATATGCCAGAGACCAGTGCTCGCTCTCTCTTGACAGACTGCAAATGGTTGACGGTGAGAACACAGAAAAGATGTGCAGCGTCCCTCACGAGAGCTTGCTGGAGGCCAACCTGGAGGAAAAGAAACACTAGAAAACAAAAACAAATATAGGCCCGCTGACGGCTAATGATTTGTTAGCTGAAGGCCAAGTGCATATCATGATTTACTGTGGGCAGTCTGCTGGGAAATAGTTGCAAAGGCCTTTTAAACGCAAAGACACTGCTCTTCAGTGTACATCTTTTGCTCTTCCCATCGAACTACGAAAAGGCTCAGCAGTCTAGAAGAATATGATTGACTGGGAGGGCAAGCACTAACAGACCTAGGAGAGGAAGAACTATTTCATGCATATGCAAGCGCTGCATGCACTTACAACGTGCATTCTTGGGAGGGCACTACCGCAAGCTTACCATTCGAATGTTGAGATCAATCTGTTTCAAAGAGTTGTCGCCGGCCGTTATTGCAAGACCATCAGCAGACGAATCAAGTCCTGCACTGGCTCGGTCACCTAATAGAGAATCCCACTTTACTGCAAGACGAATATGCACAAAAATTCGAGTGGGGGAGCTTACACGTAGGCACTGACGTTTGTGTTGGTTGCGCGCAACCGCTCTACCAACAGCCATTTGCCCATGCACATCGGCTGAAATACTAGTAATCAGGCAAACGGGAAGTTTTTATTGACAGTAGACTTACTTAAGTAATCGTTCTCGGATTTTGCCACTGAACTGTAGATTGCTTGCTCGGTGTGTCCACTGGCCTGCTGAAGATAATGTTGTACATTTTCCTTGGCCTTGACAAAATGAAGAAGTCTTTTGTTTAAAGACGGCTCTTGTGAATGAGCTTTTAACCAGAAAACCAAAAAGTGCCAAGCTGGCTTCGTAAGGTTGCAGCAAAATGCATCTGTTTCCGCATCAAAGGCTAACAACGAAGATACGTCGGAACCGTCTACTGGGCTCTCTGCTTCGATGACTTGTTGCTGTTCAGAATTTCCAGTAGAAGATTCCTGAGGAATATTTCCCCGCCTATTCCCACTCCACTGCCTCAGTCCTTGAAGGCTGTGGCACTTCGCAGCCTGCAGACGCGCAAGGCCACTCGAACACGCAACGACTAAATCCAAGAGGTCACATTTATTCACGGAATAAGGTGCACACCGCAATAAAGCAACAAATGAGCTTTGTAAATATCCAGCTTCAACTTCTGCATGATAAAAAACTCGTTGGAGCAAATGCCAGCATAAAAGAAGAATTTGTGCCAGCCCGTTTGTACGAACAAAAGTGGCGGCAGCCGCAAAAACCTAAAATTCCCACCTGTGCATAAAGCCCTGAAGCCGCGTAGCGTTCTCCCAAGTCTATCGCGAACGCCGCGTCACTTCGCGCCAGAAGACGATCGGCCATAGGTCCATCGATTTGTAATAGAGCAATTGGGAAGTTTTCTGGTTGCACGCCACAGCAGTCACAATCACCTGACTTCTGCTGGACTGCGCTTCACTTTAGGGTCCATATTCAACGTGGGAATGATGAGAATAACGCGGTGTGGCAATGTGCAATATAAATCATTGTAAAAGGGCGCTGCAGCCGTGCCAAGTGTGTGCCTCACTGCCCCCGTTATTCGCAATCCAATCCAAGACATAGTTGTGTAGAAATTCATCATTACTCGCCAGGCACGCGTTCACAAGGGCTGCTGCGCAAGCTTTGCTGTCTTGGTGCGCATCGGATGCAGCCCCGGCCTCATCGACCTTTTCACTGGGTTCTTCTCTCGCTGAAGGCGCCGCTGGATCTTCCTCATCAAAGATTTTGCAATAACGCGCGAGACACTCCCCAACATGGCGATAGCAGCTAGAAACACTGTAGCAAACAAGAAAACGCTGGCACAGTTCACGACGTGGAGAGGCGCCATGACAAAAAAAACAATCAACACACTCAAGAAGTTGCAGTTATGCTGTAGTGCATGTTCTTGTGTTAACTGTTTGAGGCTGACACCGTCGTGCAATGGTTTCGCCTTGGCTCCTACAGGGCATCGTCTTGCTGACTGCAGGTCGCAGAGGAAAGGCGGCTTAGACTCACAGAGTATTCTGAATGTCGGCGAGCTGGTGAGCAGAATCTGCCGACAGAGAAGGCCATTTTGGCCTTCTTCCTGCTGTGAACCTGCTGAAGTGTGCCGAGAGATCCGCTGCCTTGGCGGTCACAACGTCAACCAGAAGGCTGCACATGAAAAACTTGCCGAAGAAGACTTGCTTTGAGCCACCTTGCTCATGGATTTCCACCACACCCTAGAAACTGCACACTGAAGGAGGGCAAAGGAACTTTGAAGCATTCGGTGTGGAGGTACGACGCTGAAAAGTTACTAACCTGTAAAATCCCAGGGAGTCTAGAAGAGACACAATGCCTTCAAGAGGCAGGAAAAGCAGACGCGGCATGAGCTGCTGATAGACAAATTGCTGGACTTGTTCTAGACTCGGAGTTGTTTGGTTCTCCACTCCCTCTTGCAACTTGCGTTGCAGCTGAATATACAGCATCTGTGCCTCCAACTCATCCTTCCTGTGCACAAACGACACGGAAGTACTTCGCTACCACTAACGCGTCCAATTCCGAATCACACCGGAGCTAGAAGCATACGAGGTAACGGCATGCAAAGACAAGCTATAGAAATCGCGTGTGGGATGCAAGTGAACACTGCAGCTCCTGTAACCGAAGCTGCTGGCACCCCTGTTGCTTCAAAAAGGGGTACGCGGATGAGTAAGCTCCAGCAGTTCAAAAAACAAATACTGATCGCAAAATGCCAAGCTGCTACGTAGGCAGGAACATACGTGAAGAGAGCCCCAGTACAAAGACGAGATAGGAGAGGATTGCCAAACGCCGCAGTCTCGAAGACAACCTGGCGAAAGCTTTCGCGAGCCTCCAAGCTAATACATCTGACAATCGAACATATCCAGGAAAACAGGGAACAAGGGGCAAGGCACTATTTCAATTAGCAAACTAACGTACCAGGACAGAGAAAACGTCAGTACAAAACGTTGATTGAAGTAGGAAACGAACGTACGGAGAGAGATAGCAAGCAAAATGAATACATTAATATGGAAAGAAGTACTCAAAGGTAAGTGGAGAGCTAGCATGTTGGAGTTGGGGAGATCGGGAATCATGAGAGCCAAATCACACTGCAACGAAAGTGCATCAACTACCGGACAAACTGCACAAGCGTGTAGCTGTAGACAACCCTAAACAGCATACACCCAGTCCATGACTCAGAAGTGAAAGCAGGACAACTGCACACCAGTCAGCATCAAACATATCGAAATCTTCCAAGAATCCAAACGACGCGAAGAGTACGATCAGTTGTGCTTGCTTACAGATCGGTCAGGGTCAATGACAAAAGACTATCAAAGAGACGAGAAGAAACATATCGATTCGTTCCCATCTGCAAAGAGTATTCCGCCTGCTGCATCAACAGCTGGTACGCTGTCAGCATTTCCGACGCCGTCACCAAAACCCGGCTGGTCCCGTACTGCGTTAAGCACAAGAACAATATAACAGACGCGCAGAAGGTGCAGCAGAAATTAACGCTGACGGCTCACCGCTGATGCAGCAGCAACTAAAACCGGCCAGGAACCACGGAGAGCGAAGAAATCGGCGCAAATGCACCCAGAGCTACCACACCACCTAACAGAACCGCTACAGCAAAAAATAGCAAACCGTCTCTATTCAAGAGAGCACACCAGCACGCTGAGCTCAACGGCATCGCCGACGGGAATTGAGCCCCATATGATATCTTGTTGCTCCAGCTCTATAGGAGAAGGTGTCTGAGTCCCCTCTTGAAAGGAGGAACCTGACGAGCGCAGTGCAGCGAAGTGCGGGGGCAGCCCACGAGACTGAAAGCCCCACGCAGGAGCACGAGACATCTGCTGCTGCTGCTGTTGCAGGGAGGCGCGCTGTCCAAACGAAAAGAAGAGCGTCGTGTACACAGCGTCAAGCACCTGGGAAGACACGAACAGTAACAGTGCCTGCAGAGGGTATTTTTTAATTATTGCAGCGTGACTTGCTACTGGTGTGCGTGCCCAGCTTCCGCTTCTGCAGCTGCCGTATTTGCACTTGCTATGCTATGTTACGAGAGAGGCTAAAAGGAACTCATCATAAGGTCCTTACCTCGTACAGCGAAGCCACTTTATACAGAAGACGCGACACAGACTCTGCTGAAAAGCGGCCCACCAGGCACACAGACGATCCTCGTTGCTGCAAGGTGCCATCTGGATCTTCCTGTTGCCATTCAAACTCTCTTCCCCTCTTCCTGCTGCTGAGCTGTCCTGGAATTTGCTGCTTTCGCTTATGCCTCTCATGGCTCTCTGCTCGAGCAAGGCCACAGGGCAGCAAAGCAGCTTCTACCAAGGGGGTGCCCACTACTGGCCGCAGCAGCCGAGAGGCGTAGAGGATTAAACCCCTTACGGTACTGCTCAGGCCTACCGGCAGGCCCTGCACTGAGGCGCCTAAAGAGTTGCCAAATGCCCCCCCAATCTGTGAAGCGGCAGAAAAACCGTGCGGTTGAAACGGTGCGCCTGCCGAACAATCAGATGGGAAATTAGGACAGCGGTCAGCAGCAAAAACAAGTGCAACTAAAAAGTATTGACACAGACCATGAAATGCATTCCAAAGAGGGAGAGCAACCGGGATAGTGCACCAAATGGTAAAAACACCCTAATTATATCTCACCAGTTTCCTGTGACATGCCTTGCTGATGCTGTTGCTGGCCATGGTGTCCAAAGGCCCTGGCTCCCCAGGCCTGCTGAGGCTGTTGCTGCTGCACTGTCTGCGGTGACTGCTGCATAGTCTGTTGCATCACCACAGGAAGCAAAAGCTGCTCCCCAAGGAGTTCTGCATTCAAGTTGGTGGTCGTATCTCTTCGAACCTCGAGGGCTGTTAGCATCCGCCACGCCACTGCAACAGCAGCAGCCTTTTCCTCTCCTCTTCCCGTAGCAGCAGCAGCTGCCGATGGCAATCCAACATTGCTGGCGTTTCCCCCGGAGGTCCCTCTTGTGACAGTAGCATTGACTTGCTGCTGCTGCTGCTGCTGCCTCTCTGAGCATTCTATGTACCCTAAACCAAAGGGGGTCTCGAAAGACCCAAGGCTAGCCACACCTGAAGAGCCCCCTTGAGAGAGCTGTATCGTGTTTGGTGGCTGGAAGTAGGCACCTTTATTTAGCCTGAGGGCCCCCAATTGCTTGTCGAGAAGGTTTGTGGTCGAAGAGGATCCATCAGGGATACTCTGGTTGCCGCTACTCCCAATATTGGACTGCGCAGCGTGGAAGGCTGCAAGAGAGGAGGCACTATCTGCCAGCAGCTGCCAGAAAACCGCATACATTGCGTCCGCCCCGAACTGTGCATCTTCACACATGTGCTCTGCCAGCAAGTAGCCAAGGCGCCAAGGCGCGTTACGCTGAGGACCCACTGAGACCAACATGGTCCTATTCTGCTGTTGCTGGTGTTGGAAGTTTTGGTGAGTTTGCGTGTTGTTGCTGTATGCTTCTGGGTAAGCAGGACGCTCGGCGTTTAAGGGTTGCATCTTATTTGAAGATGATCCAAAGGGCCCCTTGCTTCCCTCTCTCAGCAGACTTTCAATGCCTGCTAAGTATATTTGTGTGATGGCTTGTCGACGGAGCTGCAAGACAAACTTACTGGTGAGAATAAGCAGTTTCGGGGCCCCACAGAGGGCACCAGCCGCTGCATCACTTTGGGCACAGGGTGGACGGACGGAAGGAAGAAAGCCCAAGAGCGAGCTTTGCTTTTTGTTGTGATTGCTGCCATTGCTGTTATTGTTGCCGGTTCCATCACCCATCCTGGTCTGTTTTCCTGGAAGTCTCTCCGCTGCAGCAGCAGCGAAGGGGTCGATGCTGTAGGGTAGAGAGAGCCACTGGCGTCTTTTGCGGATGTCAAACGGAGACGGCCAGATGGTGCTGCTTTGTTGCAGCACACCGAATAAGGGAGAGGTAAAGGGCTCGGAGATCAACAGCACCCGGCCCGCCCCTCTGCCAAGCCGCATACACAAGAACCACTCTGTGCAAAGAGAGGGGAAGCCGCTGCTACTGCTGCCGCCGCCGTTCCGAGGACCCAAGATAGGAACTCCAGCTGAGCCTAAGGCGGACTGTGGTCTCACTGAAGGGAATAAGTAGCCCCCAAAAGTTGATGTGTCAGTCGCTGCTGCTGCTGCCGTGCCCCCTGTGCTTGTGCTGTTACCTTGCTGTAGAAGCGCCAGAGCCCTGAGGTCCGGAGCTGCAACAACGAGGGTGTCGCTACCACCGTCAGCAGCAGCAGCCGCCAAAGCAGACCCCTGCGTGTTTTCTGCAGCAACAGGCCTGCTCTTACAACAGCAGCAGATAGCGGTGACGCCACTGTTGCCGCTGTGGTAGCCACCAGCGCCCTGAGCCCCAAGTCCTCCGCCTAAACAATCCTCTCCCTCAGCAAATGATGCCTCAGCGACACATGGTGCTCCTTCATAGCAGGAACTGCGGCACGGAGCGCAGCGCTGTAGCGGCTGGCTGGACGTATTCAGGACACCCTTGAAGCCTCCCTTGTCCACTGCCTTCTCACCCGGTGCGTTTGGTTTTGCTGCGTATGCGGAAACAAATACGCCAGATGAAACGGCTGAACACCGAAGCGACCCTAAAAACGGTGGAAGCGAGTCTATAGGCCCCCTGTAACCTCGAACTTCAAGGCGAAGCGGGCCAGCTGGCATGTGAGTGCTAGCATGGAAGAAAGGCGGTAGTGCATATGGAAGGCCACCAAATGCGCGCAGTCCACGTATTGAAAGATATGTGCGGCCTCCTGCAGATACAGTAAGAGGAAACATAGCCAACTGGGTTTAAGGGAAGTACAGATGGTCTGATGTTGGAACCCCATACGGTGGAAGACGCGAGAAACGCATCACAAGCACACATGGCAGCTGCGTTACGTAAGAAGGGCCACGGAGGTGACGGGAAACAGCTGATGAAGAATGCAGCGAGACACTACACTGCAAAAGAAAGCAAATGGCAACAATCATTGGAAGGTGCATACTTGCCTCTTTCGCTGCGTTGAAGAGGCAGACGGACAGGTTTGACAAAACATCCCACAACGTAACCACAACTTACCAACAGCATCTGTTAAGACGGCGACAAGAGAGTTTCCCTCAAAGGGGGCAACGACGGAAAGTGACACGGCCCGAAAACCGCCAAGTCGCCTCAAAGAGGCCAGAAGACCGCCGCGGCCCTCAGGCGGGGACTTGCTCCAAGTGGAAGCTACGCGTTGGAGGCCGTCTTCGATCTCTTTGCAAGTGAGATGCACTGAACATAGAATGCAGACACAAGAAATATAATGCGGAATCATCAGAAAAAAGAACTGCGGGGCACACGCAGACAAAGTACACAAGAATTCGGCTGTAGGGACCTGTAGTCTTCCGCTACTGCAATCTTCAACGGACACAGCAGATGTGACACTGAAAAGCCGCAACCGGGAAATTCGCGCATTGCTCAACGACTGTGAACAGAAAATGAAACACACCCACAACACAAGATCCAGAAGCAGAGAAAGAGCAACTCCCGCAAAAGCCGGTCCGGATAGGGGACCGAGCAGTGGCAGCGGAGACGCCAATCTAGGCAAACAAGCGAATATGTGCAAAACGAGGGAGATAGTCAGGAGAGCACGTCAAGTCACTTAACGACCTACTAAAGGCAACGAGGTACAGTCAAGTGCAGTCATAAGGGGAACCCAATCATGAACACTTGATCAAGAAAACAGACTACAGTTGTGGAAATCGAAGAAATCCCTCACGCGTCCTCAGGTTTTTCACTTGGTTCGTCGTGCGTATCTGCTGCTCCTTTAAGTTGGGTGGCGGAATGACAAACGCTGTGACAGAAGAATCGCCGCCGAGAGCCCACACGATGCCTCGTGCCTCGTCTGTCTGCAACTGTCGTAACCCCTGCCGACACTCCATCTCCACCACCATATTACCGGTTACGTTGCTGCTGTTGCCGATCAGGCCGAAGGACGAACACAATGCCCGAAAGCCCCATTTTATTACATCTGTGAGTTTAGGATTCACAGGAGCCAGATGACAAACAACGAACCCACCGCTTCCCCAAACCCTGAACCCTGAACCTTCCATCCCATTGGGCGGAGCGACGACCCGCAATGCCGCAGAATCCTCTTCTGTTGCTGCCGCTGTTTGGGTGTCCGTAACTTCTGAAGTCCTGGACCTCTTTGTGAAAAGCAGCGGAATATTCAAGGAGCCCCAACGGGGGCCCCTCATCTCGTAATCGATCGGCTTGACATCTAGAACGTAGACTTGCTGAGTTTGTGGGGATCCGAAGAAGGCAAGCCCGCTACCCCTGTGTGCTGTCGCATGTCTGAGTTCGAGAGCAGCCCCAATAGCCCCCCCTTTGGGCTTTTCCGCAGCTCCGATTTCCGTGTAATCAATGGATGAGACAGATGGCCCTTTCATGGGGTCCCCCGCTTGGTGTTGGCGAGCAGGATCCACTCGAGGGACCCGCGGCGTGGCGGACACAGCAAACAGCCGCACCGAAGACGTGATGGCGACTGCTAAACAGTGCAGGGGAGAAGAAGGAACGTCTGCAAAGGGTGGCGTGTCTGTACAGCCGGAAGAGTCAAGATGAGACGTAACAGAAAAGGCAGACAGGGCCGCATCATCCCAGCAGAAAGAGGCCCGCAGAGCTGGGGGAAGGACCGCCCTATCCAGGTGTACGTACACCACACACTCAACTGCCCCTGGGAACGACAGCCGTTCCACAGCCTCTTCAGGGGCGCCCACCTCCCACAGAAACAGATCACCCTTGTCGGCAACCCACAATCTGTTTAGCTCGGGGATAAGCCCATGAGGAGGTACTGAACGACAGCAGCAATTCGCGTTGCTGTTGCCGTTGCTACTTCCCTCTATGGCGCCACAGCGGCAGAGCATGTGCGAGAGAGAGCGGGGAATCGGAATCCACTCGCTGGTGTCCCCAATACTGAATGCATTCCTGTTTTCCTCATAAACGGCTTTGTACAGGGGGGCCCCCATTCTGAATGCCCAGGGGCCCCCACCAAGAAACGGAGCCCTTCCAGGGCTATCCAACTGTGCATGCTGCTCATCCGCACAGATTCCGCCCCATAGTAAACGAACTGCTGCGCTTGCGAAATTAGACGAGGGCCCCTCTGCGCCCCCATTTGCGGGGCCTGTTGATGAGGCACCCAAAAACGCGTCCACAGGTCCATCGACGCCAATGGGAGGCCGAGGTGCAGTCGTGCCCTTCGGAGCACCAAGTATGCATGAAGATGGCTGCGTTGAGGGCCTCCGCTGGTGTTGTTGTTGCTGCTGCTGCTGCTGGGTTGAGAAACCGTAGGCCGCCTGCGTCATTGAGATGCTGCACGCGCGTCCACGGCTCGCCGCGGGCCCTTCATCTGTTGTGAGGGGTGCAACTCTTAGGGTGGGAATCGCTGAGGACGTGGGGCCCCCTGCAGTGTTGGTCGAGCCCATAATGGAGCGGTCCGTTCCCGACGGTGACGCGAAGGCACTCATTGAAACTACATATTAAGGGGCCCCTGGGGGCCCCGGAGGCGTGTGACGCCGTCAAGATGATGTATCGGTAGGGTCAAGAAAAAGATGGTGGCTGCATAAGGTCGGCCCGCACCCGTAAGCTGAAGGCCCCCACAGACCTGCCCGAAATCGCCTCATGCAGAAACCTGCCGCAGAAGGCCTATGAGAAATGGGCTAAGATTCACATTCAAACAGTGAAATGGGAGTGAGAGGAAAGCCGGGGCTGGGGGGAGAAACCTGCGTCGTAAGTTCAATTGGGGGCTGCACACACTGACGCAGCTCCGGAGGAACGCACCAAGTCAATAAAATATCAAAACTAACTCAAGAAAGACGTGTACAAAGGAAGGGGGTAAAATCTTCTCAGTTAAGGGTGCAGGGAGTTTGGGGCTCTGTTCTAGCTCGGCGGCGCATGCGCTCCGCCTTTTCCCAAATCGATCTTCCACATTTAAGCATTTACGTATTGAAATAGAACAGATACTGTTGTTTTCCTTTATGTTCTACCTAAGCTAAGCCAAAATGGGAAAAGTGGGGGAAGAAATTGCGCACTGGTTGCGTTTGGTCGCATCTTGTCTTCTTGCAATGACAGTTGACGGTTCTGCCTTCTAAACAGAGTGCCTCTTTCGCTTTAGTCGTTTCCGTTGCGTGCTATTTCAAAGCGGTCTGGTTCCAGCATAAAGCAGACACGGTGGGGGATTGTACGTGCCAACTAACGTAAAAATGCGCAAGTTCGCTTCACGTAACAGTTACATACGTGAATTACACCTGCTACTGTGGCAGTCTTGGGTTTTCTTTGTTGTGTCTGTTGCCGCTACAGCAGCTGCGCACTTTTACTGCTGTTGCAGCTGCTGCATCAGCAGTGACAGTTGCTACCAGCAGCAACAGCGACAGCAAGAATGGAAGGATATGGCAACTCCTCTTGTAGCATAATTTGATTTTGCTCGTTCGCAGCCTGTTGTTTGGGTTGCAGATACTTCAACAGTTGATATCGGTCGCATAAATATTCACTTACTTGTGCCCATTTACGTTTGTGAATATTCCCTGTACCTCCCTTTATATTGTATCTTCGTCGTTAGCGAGTGAAGACGTGGCAGCAACTAGACATCTATATCTGCCACATCCCCGAAAACTGCCTGAAGACAGTCTTTTGTGAGTTCTTCTATTTCTGGACTTTTGAACCTCCAATAAGAGACGCCTTTTTCAACCAGTTTCATATTCGATCTGTGGTCGTCCCCCACTATCCCGTGCCGAGCTAGAATGGGCTGCTGCACTTGCGGTAGATATTTGCGGGCTCTCAGGATGACCCGCCGGTAGTCGAAGTCTGCCAGACTTCGTAGCGCGTTCAGCTCAGCTGCGACCGGGTCAGACTGCAGAAAAAGCATAGGAAATGAAGTTGTCTCGGCGTGTGGAGGTCGTGTGCAACTGTTGTGTCAGCGAAGGTGTGGCCATGCAGGTGTTTCGAGACGAAAATTTCCGTCCAAATGTATACGCAAGCAAATGCATGCATAGCAGCACGCCTGTCGCACAAAAACGAACCCTTGACTTTCCTTCAGTGAGTACAGTAAATGCGAGAAAGGTTCTGATTATAGGGCTGTGGAGGGCTGGAACAGACGACATGGCAAGAGAAATAACAGGTACTTGATATTTTTTCTGTCGCTTTTACGCTTAAGAACGGCATATGAAAGTGGACAATGATGGACGCACTGTATAGGCATCTAGAAAGTCTAAAAGGATGCTCCGGGTCTTCGCCAAACTAAGGGGTGGGAGCTCCTGCGTCTCTCCTTTCTTCGTATATTCCTGAAATTTAAAAGGCAAAAAGCGCAACAGTCCCATAGAAGTGGAATAAAATGAAGGGAATCGTCTATTGAAGTCAAGGACTTGATGGCTTCAAGTGAAGAATTTGGGAATCGAGTATCCAAATACAAATATCTACGCTGTAGTCAACGCTTCGGGTATCACTTGAATCACTTTTGCTATTCCATATTTGCACACTAAGTATTAGAATTTTGTGTCTGTGACAGGACACTAGGCCATTCAATGCTGCGACGTTATCATCCGATATACTCTCCCAGCATGGATGTTCGTGTTAAAGCGCACCGTATGCTTGTCCTGTGTCTCTGCCTCATCACAGGTTGCAGCTTTGGAGATGCTTTCGACGCCTTGCCCATCTGCACTATTGCAGGAGTTTGCCGCCTCTGCAGTGGTCTTGCTCGGCGGTAGATGGAAGTCCGTTTTGTCTTCAGGGTAATTGCGGCTAAAGTGAAATTGGTCGTCATCAGACTTGTCGGGATCGTCGGCAGCGCCCAGCTGCCTGACGTGTGCAGCCGCCAGCCGGCCCCGGGAAAAAAGTGAGCCTTCAAGGCCTCTGCACACTGTCAATTTCGCCTCAGTTTCGCTTTTATTCAAAACCTGCCGCAGCTCCTGGAGCCCCAGCCTTGCAGCACAGACGCCTTCTTGGGTTGAGTAAGGGCTCTTTAGGATAAACATGAAATCGTCTTTTGCGCACTTCGTCATCCCTAATAACAAGTAGGCCCGACCGCGACGATAGCGAGCCTTCGAATCGTGCTCGTCTAGTTCCTGAATTATTGTGGTGCATGCGCCTGCAGTAAACATCAAGCTGAGAAACAATGGTACAATTTTGCTAAGATCTGCAGCATTTCCTCCTCGCATATATCAGAGACAAATAGGAGCACCTGCATTTCGGGCTACACTGCGACTGCATTCCACAAAATGCTGTACCCACAAAGACAACAACAGCAGGAATATCTACAAAGGCATACGCAACAGCAGTTAGAGTTGCATATATGCTACTATCTTACGTATAGCTTCTTGGTACTTGCCGAGTTGAAGCGCAGCTTGCGCAGAATTTTTCAAGAAGAGGGAATACATATCATCAATACGTCTTTGGCTAACTGCATCCTTGGCCTCAACCCAGTTCACGAGCTCAACCCCTTGTTTGAACCTCATGAAAGCCTTATCGTAATCTCCAGTTGCATAGGCTTCTCGGCCTTCTCTCGCCAGTCTCTCACCGAAAGACAGGTGCTCTTCCAGGGCAGGGGCATCCAATGGCCTTTTGCCCTTAGAAATGCCTGGGTCATAGAGGAACTGTGAAACCTATTTATGTTCACCGTGGCACTTCATATATGTCAGCATTTTCACATAATATATATATCGGAGACAATTTGGTAGCTCTGCCGGCCTTTCTTTTCCTGGAGGCCAGTGCAGCGTATCGACTTGAGACGAAGAGAACGGCAGCAAATAGTTAGTCTTTTCATCTCAAGCATAGCAAGGAAGTCTCTACCTGGTATCCATTCATCTCTTGGGCAGATCTCTCCCTTCGACATGCGCTCAGCGAGTTCTGCCTGAGGCAGATCCCTCCAAGTGCGCTGTTTGAGGTAGTCTAGGTCCGCAGCATCTAGAGGCCTCGAAGCCTCTTCATGTATTTCCTTGAGTTGCTGCTCTTGCCGCTTGACTGCGTACGCACCACAGTACAAAGCAGGCCGAGTGTTCAAATGGCATTTCCTTTTTCCCAGTGCATTTGTTCCTCTGAAGAAGGGAAAAAGAAGTGGTGACCCATGGCAGCTCAGAGCTGTACCTAGAAAACGTACAAGCTTCAGGGTGACGCTCGTATTCTTCTGCCTTCTCGAGAATGAGCGCTGCTAGCGACTGGTCTGTTTCGATTCTTTTGCTAAATATGCCTGGATTGTGGTCTGAACGGAGCAAGCAGTCGTGCAGACGCTCCAAAAGGCCTGGAGACTGTATAATTGGCCGCAGTATTCGTTGCTGGTCAGGTGTACACCCAGCTAAGGCAGTCTCCAGTTCCTCCAGTTTGGTACTCTTTACGGCTGCCATGCGACAAGCCTGATTCCAGCACAAGACGCAGCATACACAACCAACAGTATTTGTGGGTCCCACTGCAGATCTAACGCTTTTTCCTGCTCAGACCGCTGGGATCCTGGGCAGCGAAACAGAACTTACTGTTTCCTTTTGCAGTTGCCTTTGCTCCTCTTGCAACATGCGCTGCTCATTCGGTCGACGCAGGAAATCCTGCCAATAAGCTTCACATTCATGCATCGCCATTTTGGGATCAAAATTTTAACACCAAGCGGCGCTTTGTTAGTCGGTTAATGAAGCTGTTTCAAGGCAACACTGATTGGGGCTCTGTCCCGCTCCACGTATACTGGTAGGGCCTATTATGGTCTTCCAACCATGAAAATCTCATAACTAGCGCAAAACGGATGAAATAGCGTCCTATCAAGGCGAAGATTTTAATTTTCACGCCCAAGTCTACGACACCTGCGGCACTTTGGGCGCCTTTGAACTGCTCCTCCGTGACCGTCTCGTCTGGACTCCCACAAAACAAACGGCGCTTTGCATCAAACTTCAAGGAGAAAAATATTAAAAAGGTAAGACTTCTTTATAGTTTGAATGGAGCTTGCAACACCTTCTGCTGTAGGCATCTTCCTCGCTGCACGGATCTCCGGGCAGTACCAAATGTTTTGGCGGTGCACAACCACTCGGGCTGATCTTGACTGAAACCAGTCCCACATACAGCTGCATGTTCACATAATGGAAAATATAATAAATTTAAGGCTAAAAGTACATTAAAATTTTGTATTTCAAGGAGAATCTTCCTTTGCAACAGCGCTTATGTGCTCCGCTCGCCCAAGAGCCGTCGCGGACATTGCTCATGCCACCTGCCTGGATTGCTCTAGCGGGTCGATGTGATCACTGAAGCCTTTTCCTTTCAAAAATGTGTGTCCTTTTCTCTGCTCTCCAATAATGTGCCAGCTGCCTGGATTGCTCTAGCGGATGGATATGAAGAAAAAATGTATGTCCTTCCCTCTGCTGTCCAATAACGTTCTTGCAGTTAAGCAGCGATTAATACGCCGCACTCTGGCAACGGAACTCCGTCGTATGTGGTGTGCTTATATGCCAAAACCAATAGCAAAGGATGAAAAGAACAATTCAACGTTCCGCGTGTTAATGGTATTCGCATCTACCGTTTGTGAATAGCGTCTAGCGGCTGGTGTCATCTAGTGTTGAAATCTAAAATGAAAGGTAACAGGCAGCAGCCGTCTGGCACATCATTCCCAACAAAGCTACCGGCCCTTCGCTGAAATTATTCAAATGAAATGAGTGCAATTGAGCAGAAGATGTTTATCAAGTATACCGGTGCTTCGAGCCCACGCGTGTCAGCTCGAAGTTGCTGCATTCGGAGAATATGGCACCGAGTGCAGCAAGTTCAGGCCGACATATAATGCGTTGTCGCCAGGCCAACCAGCATTTTTCTGCAGCAAGCGCCACCTAATAATCAAAAGTTTATTACGGTTCCCTTCAGCAAAATTGCTGAACTACCCTACCATGGCCTGCCTGCCTGCAGTCATGGGCCCTGGTCTTCGTCACGGGCCATCATGAGGTGCCTAGATAATCAAACTACTTCATAGCTGACTCGAAGTCAACAGTATCTCCAGCTCCGTCGCTCTGGGCAGTGAAATATCTCAGCTCAGACTCCTTGGGGATTTAGAGGGAGGGCCTTCCCGCCGTGGGGAGCACTATGCAGCAACTCCTCAAGACTGCTAGCGCTCCGTGTAGGGGTTGCTGACCTTAGCTATCAAAATTTAGCGTCACCTTAACCTTCTAGGCACTGACTTCAACGCAGCACAAAGAAGCTTTACGCCGGCACCTGCGACTTATTACATTGCTCACCCACGCTACAAAGCGGAGACACAAAAGGACATGCATTGTAAATCTTCAATTAAAAACATTTGCTCGTCTGCGAGTAAAGGTAGCTTCATTTGTGAGCACTTAAGCTGGTTAACTGCGGTGCGTACCTGTGGGTCTTGGTGGTCAAGCGTGTTTAGTCGTAGTTGCCCACACGCTAGTATTGATCACTTTGTGTCTATACTATATTCGGCTCTTCGCAAAACGCTGACAACTCAATATCATCGTCAGTGTCACAAAAGTGCCACTGTCCCCCTAGGAAATTCTACCCGGTCGCCTGATCCTTCGCATGGTATGCCCTCTCCAAATCAGCACTAATGGAGGACTGAGCGATAGCTCCTCAGTACGACGAAAAGATTTGAGGTGAGGCACTTATAGTTTGAGCAGTAGCTGACATGTTAAAAATCAAGGTCAGCAAGTACCTCATAGACGCTCGTAACTCGCCCTCCTTCCCCAGCTTTACTGACGGTGCTAGCAACGCCCAACACGCCATCCTTTTTTTCTTTTTTAGTAATATCTTGTGAGCTGCGGGTCCCCGACAATGCTGAATACTGCGAAGGCTGAGGCAACGGGCCCCCAGAAGACTCCTTGTTTTCCCTACTACCTTCGTCCAGTGCTATCCTTCTGGGTTCCCGTGTCGCGGCATGCATTACGGTACATTCAACAACACACAGTGTATTTGACCTCGCTTCACAGGCACCAGGCTTAGAAAAAGCGTCGTGCCTCACGCTCGGTCTGCACTGCTGCTGCTCGCCGGACAAGTGCTGCTTTTGTTGCTGCTCCTCTGGCAGCTGCTGCTCTGGTAGCTGTTTCTGCGTCAATTGATGAACCAGGGGCCGCGCTTGCTGTTCTCGCGATTGCCGTAGCTGCTGCTGACTGGCATAATGGAACTGCTCTGATCTATACCGCTGTTGCTGACACTGGTTATGCTCTATTCGCTGAGGCTGCTGCTGCTGTCGCAGCGCCTGGTCTTCGAGTAACTCATGCTGTTCTTCAAGGCACTGTCCATGCATCAGCTGTTGCATCGTTTGATGCTGCTGATGCTGCTGACGCTGCTGATGCTGATCAAAAAATCGTGAAGCAGATCTCTCCTCTCGAGGTTTCTTCTGCCGGTTGAAATTTGATCCCCTTGCCGCGCTGTCCAGCTGGAGCTGCTGCAGGGTTTGTTTCAAGTGCTGCTGTTGTTGTTGTGCCTTCCCCTTGTTCCTTAGCTGCCCAATCGGAGTTTGGGCTTTGTGGCCACACAGTTTGCACACTGCCACCTGATGGCATGCCACAACCAACAAGACGCATACCATTGAGAGCCTCGAATGTTGTGCCGTGCTTTTAAGACTGATAGACCCGTCTGTGTCCCCAAAGACGCCCAATAATGCTAAGAAGAAGGCCCTAATAATTATTACCATAGATGAGGAGACGGCGAGAGGCCTGACTGCCTCAGCCGCATAAGGAGGAACTTGGCCCCCGGGAACCGTTGCCTGAAGCTGCAGCATCAGATGCTCTTTTGTACACTGATTCACTGCGACGCATACAAGTAGCAGCATCAGTTGCCGATATCCCTAAACCCCATTCGCTCAAGTGAAGCCATCTCCGCTGTTCAGGACTAATTCAAAGATCACTTCAACCAGCTTCGGAGTGTAAGTACTCCCGGAATATACCCGGAATAAGCCCTAGAGGCGCAAAAACGAAATTCGCCTGTAGCTCGTTCTCACTTCGGCGACGAAAAGACCCACGTGGAAGGGACCGCGTAAATATGCATGATGTCAAAAATGGCACTAAAGGAACGCCACACCCAGCACATAGACCCTGTTTTGCCTTGGGATCTACCTCTGCACCGCAGACACATAAGAAGCAGCGGCAGAAGCAGCAACAACAGATGCGATCATAGGAATGCAGTGGGAGTCCCTCGATTTACCAACATATAGGAGCAAGCGAGGTAATGCTAACTAGAGGAAAGGGGCTCAAAAGTAACACTAGGGTGGTGACTACACTGGCATTGCATATTGTCTGAGTTACCGATGCCGTAATGCTGAGCAACGTCTGCTGCACGTCGCCTAAAGAAGTAGACATCATACACAAACAAAGTGACGTCCCAATACCATCACTTCAGGCAGATGGGGTTCCTACACCTGTTGTTGCTCCAAAGATTTAATGTAACAACTAAAGTCTCACGAGAATGCGGCAGCTAGACGCGGTGCGACAGCCGCTAAACGCCTCGCTGATGCTCCCAGAAGCAGTACTGTTGCTTTGCCTCTTGCTGCTGCTGCTGCTGCTGGCGTAGGTGCTGCTGCTGCTTCCTGCTGGAATACCAGCAAGCCCTGCTGCAATGATTCCGTTTGCTGCGGGGTGAAGAGAGCACGACTACACAGCTGCGCTTGAAAATTCTGTTGCTGCTCTATCCGCTGTTGCTTCTGCTGCTGTCCTTGCTGTTGTGGCCCTCGCTGTTGTTGTAACTGCTGCTGCTGGACGATACACAGTCCCCTTGAGGGGTCTAAGGCTCTAGGAATTGGATGCTGTTCGCCGCTGCTCTGTGCCTTTCGAAGCGTATCATTGTGCCCATGCTGCTGCTGCCGCTGTAGCTGCTGCCCTTCAGCTTGGCATTTATCCGGTGGCGGCACTTGCTGCAGACACTGCTGCTTCACTACTTGCTGCTGCTCCTGTGACTCTGCCTGCAGTGATGTCCGGTGTATAGGTTGCTTATGCTCCACAAGCTCAGGCCCATGCTGCTGTTGGGGAGATAGTGAAGGTCCTTGCTGCCGCGGTGGCGCCAGTTGATCCTGCTGCGGAATACGCTGTTGCACCAGGGGTTGCTCTTCTGCAACCTGGAGTTGGTCTCGATCTATGTGGCTATTCTGCTGCTGTTGCTGCACTCTCGCTACTGCATGCACATTCTGTGCATGCTCCACATCAGCTGGGGTGCCGGAAACAGCACCTTCAGCCCGTGGGGCCCCTCGTCCTTTGCGTTTTTTCCGCTTTCCACTGTCGCCGTAACCTGCGGAACGTTTCAATCCATGTGCTGCAGCGGTGTCGACTGCCTCTTGCTGGAGTGCCTGCTGTTGCGGATGCTGCTGCTTCTGTCGGTACTTCTGTTCCTGCTGCTGCTTTTGTTTGTGATGTTGTTGGTGTTGCTTTCGTTGTTGCTGCTCCTTCTGCAGCTGGCTTTGCTGCTGTGATTTTTCTTGTTGCTGCTGATTGAGCCGTCGCCTTTTCTTTTTGCTCTGCCCCTGATGCTCTTGTTCGCCGCGTTGGTGCCGTGGCCTCTGTCGTGCCTGTGGCTGCGGCTGCTGCTGCTGCTGCTGCGGCAGCTGCTTCTCTGTCTGCTCCGTTGAGGAGTGCCCGTGTGTTGCTGCAAGAGGCCCAGTACCAGTTCGGCCCGCAGCGGCCCTCAGCGCCAGTGCTGCTGCAATTAAAGAGGCCATGAGGCCCTTAAGTTCAACAGGGGGCCCCGGGGGCCCCTCTCCTGCAATGTGCTTTGCTTCCTCACGTAAACCCCGCGATCATACGGGGACAAGAGGACAAATATGACAGTTTGGCAGTTTTAACGAGATTAAGGGCCTACAAGTTTCGTTTTATAAATTACAAAGCTGCGCGTACTGCTATGTGACGCCGCAACACTAGGACTCGAAGACCCATTGACAGGCAGTCCCCTACCCCACTGTAATCGGATCTGGAGCGCCTAGATTGAAGTGTTGAACCTTTGATATCACTTTTGTTCTGGTTTTCTGAACACTACTGGAAGCATCTGTGCTTCCGCTTCCACACAATCGCAGCACAGGTGCCTCTGCTCTGGACTGGCCCACTTGGCCCTATATTACTATGCCCGTTAGTGCATCGCTCCAGGTGACTATATATTGAATTAATGTTTAGACTTTCTGCTGCTGGTATACATCTCAATTAATATATATGTAGTCGCCCCCGTGTATTGGTGCCTGCCGGACTCGCCCTTGAGCCACTTCTGTACGATTGGGAACTGCTGCCCAACACAGCGTGACGTTAGATGTCAAAGGTGTCCCATTTCTGCATATATTTAGACCAACTTATTTACTACTGAACGCTAAGAAAGGAGAATAATTCAGTCCAGGCTTCCGGCACTGTGGGAACGGCAACAATGCTATAGTACGCTGTCGGCTACCGACCGCTTTTTCACTAGTGTGCTGCATGTTACGGGTTTCTGGACTCTACATACCTTGCGAAAGTTTAGAGGAACATAATTTTAAACTGTGGCAAACCTATGGACAGATACAGGCACGTCGTCACGCCTTGCTGAACTGCCATAGAAAGCAATAGTGCGAAGTCTACGGGCAGGCTGCAAAAGGGGACAATTCCTCTCGGTGAGGGCATTCTGCCCCTCTGTTTATCAAGTTTTATCTTCACGTCATCCTGCGGCTAGCCGTTGCTCAAATGCGACTCTTCAAAATGTTTGAGGAGTTTTCTGTAAAAAAACGGAGGCGGTCTAGAGGTGAGGGTTTTGCTGCTCGTTTCACCAGTTCAAAAATTGAAGATGGAGCAGTGCCCCAGCATACCAGAGGAGCAATATGCCTCTTGTTTTGCAAAGGCAGGCCCATACACGAATTGAAAGCTGGGAGCCGCTGCAGCATCGATGCAAAATTATACGAGAAAGGCAAGTGGCCAATTGCTGCAACGGATAGGCCTCAACAGAAGGACCTTTTGTGCGACAGTTGCCGTCTCATACGATCTTGTGCCGCTTCGGAGAGAAATGAATGACTACTCCGGCATCCTGAGGTAATAGCAAGAGGAAAAGAGCCAGAATAAAGTCAAAGGGATACAATCTAAGAAAAGTCATACATCTGTAACAAGGAGCTGAAATACTCGGACTCCCGAAATGGCTTAGTACTCACCTTCGGCTCCGAACTCATCCTCAATACTCGGAGCTTCCTGCTTAAAACAATTAGCCATGTAGATAAGCTTTTTAACCATCCCAATGCCATACTCCCCTATGCCGCCACCCTGCGGCCCTCCTAGCCGGTGGCCTTGACCGCCAAATACTCCCGTAAAAAGTTCGCTTGGTGCTGAGCTGAGAGTCTTGGGATTGTGCTCCGAGGTGTTTCCACTACTTTGAGGCAGGAGGCAACTGAAAAAGAGGGCAGAGCATCACGATTAAAGAACATGCGAGTCAGCGTGTCTGAGTGCAAAAAACTGCGAGCCTGATAAGCTGAGCCTATGCATTTTAATGAGCAGTATGTATGCAATTAACATACGAGAAGGCGGAAATACAGGAAAGAGAAGGTAGTATAGAAGCGGCAGAGCACAATTATCCGGGTCCACCACAATTACAAGTCAGCCCCAACAGTAATATTCAAACAAGACGTGGATGCGAGCAGCCAAACATTATTAGAGGGCGCATTTTACTTCTCAATAGTCGAAGAATAAACACTTTTCGGGAAGTGTACGCTTGAAAAGCCTGCAGTGAGCGACTGAACTACAGAGCACAACATTATCCGATCCTCCAAAGGAGCCGTTCCGCTACCACTGAGTGTCAGAAAAAGCAGAACATCACTAGCTAAGCTGCTGCGTAAATCTTGCTCATGCGTGTTTACTCTCCTGTAAGAATAATTACTCAGACACAGTAGAAAACGCACGGTAAAGCTGGGAGCACGTGCTGATCCTTACCCTAGCCACTGGCCGTATCTGCTCGCGCGATTAATATGAGGAGGAATTCCTCTGCCGACAATGGACTTGAGAAGGGCGTCGCTAAAGTGGTTGCAGTTGTTTCGTATGAGGTCGTAAGAGCTGCCAGGAAAGGACTTCTGCAGGCTTGAGATGACTTTGTGGAGCTCAGGAACCGACAAATTGCAGGCGCCCATATGTAAGCTGTATTCGTACGTCCCATCCAAAAAGCTGTGGATGCCGTCAATACGAGGATTGTGTTCAGAGCACATCACTCCAGAATCCTCCCCGAAACTGTACTCTAGCTCCCCAATTTGCACGCCTGATGGAACACAACAGACCCAAAGACAAATGAGATGGACTAACAAAATTTCTGCATTGTGCCACTTCTGTACTGCAGCGTCATGTGGACGAGTTCGGCACCTACACATCACTTGTGCCGGTCGTATTATCGTATGACCAGTGCAGGTGAGATACACCAACAACAAATGGGGGAATTTCACGAGGGGCCTCCATAAAGCTTCTTTGCCACAACAAAGAGGCTTCCCTCCCTAATGAAATCAGAGCTCCACACTAGACCAGCTGCAGTGGAACAGGCTCTAATTCGATGAGGCACCAAGATTCCGGGTCGCGGAGGGTTCAAGGCGGCAAGCTGGAAAATCCCGTAGAAAATACAAAAGCCAGGATACAAATAAGACCCTTGAATTTAAGCAGGTCCTTACTCGTGTGGTAGAGACCACAAGGGGAGCACCAATCGGGTGAGCCGTGTATTTTGTAGATGTTCAGGAACACCTCAGGCCCTGGCATCCTGTTGACGAAATAGAACTAAGGGTGAGACCCAAAAGTTTAAGCTGACGGAAAAAATGAAAGAAAGAAGAAAACAATTATGCATGTGCAGCAAATGGCCCATCATAGTGTATAAACTCTACTGATGGTCCATTGTCGTGTGTCCCACCGCTGGGCCGCCAATTTGGTGTCGATGGGCTCCAATCTCTCGAACTTTAGTGATGCCGTGTGGACAGTTCTACAAGGATTCCAAAAAGACTCTGCCTTTTAATAGGCCATGATCATGTTAAATGAAATATATACTGAAACAAAGCGTGACAATCAGCAGTCATTAGCAGAATTGCATACTACATGCCAGTAGCGCAGCATAGACCAGCGCATGCCAGCATCCTGGTCATGTGATGACGACCGCCACTAATAAATGCCACAATTAAGGCGGTTTTTTGTTTTTTTAAATTAATCTGATATGAAAATGAGGGCGGTAATAGCCGAAGGACCTACCTTTGAGGCCAGCTGCTGCGGACGTGTCGTGAAAGCAGGAAAGGTCTCTTCCACTCAGCGCGTTCAAGTAAGAAAACGGAAGCCCTTCACCGCGGTCTGAATATTATTATGGCACAGAGTGTTAAAACCGCAAGTCTTTCAAGGTTGACCAATGGACGAGACTGGCGCTGCTTGGTGTTTCTCAGGCGTCACGTGGCCCTAACTATAATGTTTGCAACATATCAAGAATTACTAGCCATACCCAGGATGTCGTAAAAGCGGAAAAAAGCTGTATATATAAACTTAGGTAAACTTGAGAAATTGTAAATTCATGTTTCACTAGCGTGCACCCAACCCACGGCCACAAATAAAATTCGCCTGCGCCTCCTCCTTGCAGTCGCGTCCGACTTTGAGTAGATCAATAAGGAATCGGCGGTGCGAAAACGCCACAGTATTGTAGTAATGGGTGCTAGAGGCGCATTTAGCCTTTGACTCTCCCCCCTTACGTCCTTCATCAGGGCGCCCCAATCAAGGCTTTGCAAACTGGGATGCTAGTGGATACTTTGTTTACCAGGGTACTCTGTTGAAGTGACTAAGTACTGAAATACTCAAAAAGCTACCCCAAGTACATCGTGCTGGACAGAAAGCATAAAATATGACAGCTTTCACAGGAGCACTAAACAGTATAGAGCCTATTGCTGTTGCACTTCACGCTGAGTTCGAGGAAAATCGTTCAGCACTATTTGTCTTCTCAGATATAGCTTAAAGAGCAGGCGCAGAGTATCTCCCTGTACGTCAAGGTAGCGCTCAAAATGTGATAAATAAAAGTTTTCAAGCAACGGGTCCTCATTCCTGGACGGCCCACTGTACCCAGTGTACAGATGACAGAACTTCTATGAATGATAATCAAGTAAATGCACTTATGCCGGTAGCTGCACGTCCAGCTATGAGCATATTTATGTCGTATGTTCCTTCGTAAGTGTACATAGCCTATCAACAAACGTAGAGGGAGCAGAGGCAGGCAGAACAGTGCCACAGGCTAATAAGTCACCCAGCACCTTTGTCATGGCAGGGCATTGCAGCGAGTGAGGCTGCAAGCGGACCCCGGCGAGTAAAAAGTTCAGAAGTGGCTACGTCTATCGCTCGTCTCTCGCCTTCATGTGTTTGTGTGTGCACGCACCACACAATCGGGCCTTTGGTCAAACACTCAACGGTCCTGACCGCTACCATTCACATACCTCTATATCTGCTAAGGCTTTGGCTGCGCCGTTCTCGAGCAGTATACCATTTCCACCCATCACTTCTCGACAGAGCTGTGTTCCTTCTCTTGCTAGTCGAGATGTTGTGGCCTTCACAAGAGCCACAAGAGCCATCGAGTTCCGACCCTCGTCCATCCGTCTCGCCATATTAATAGACAGCGTGACGCAACCCTGTACGAATATCATGCAAATCTCAACAGCTATGCTGTTTGTCACGTCTTCACATGTTGGTAAAAGGTAAGAAAAGTTCTGAACCAATTCATAGT